AACATTAATGTATCAACATGGAAACAAATATCTATGATCTATAAAAATATTTTCGTTCACGAATTTTTCAAAGAAATCCGTAATAACATGATTCGATCAGTTTCGTGAGTCTCGAAAAATTATATCTACACAATTTACATCGAATAATACAAGTACGGGCGTTGTGCTCGATTTTCTTCATTTTCGTGCTAATAAAAAATCTATAATATACCTACTTCGTTTATCAACGTAACGTAACATTAAAAAAAAAACGTTAAGTGACAATAGCGTTCCTGCCTCAGCAAATAGCGCTTTCTCGCGCAAAGTAAATCTACGAAACTTGAATTTAGCGAACGAACGGCTAGAAACAACAAAACCCGACCCCATGTTTTCGCATGACGTTAATTAAATTGTCCTCACGCGCACGCGTACATGGGCATATAATGGAGGTGGATGTAATGAGCGTATTTAATCAGGCTGTTTAATCAAGGTGTCCTTTTACAGCCGGCGGGCGGCGCAATATCGTAAATAACTCTCGCCCGTATTCCCGACGTGCTGTAAAAACGTAATGCGCATTCGCTTCGCGGGCGATGCCGCGAATAACAGTATTTCGAGCGCACAATGGCGCGTAGAGATATATCTCGCAGTTCCCCCTTTTTATTTTCCTATGCAATAACAATAACAATTGATTTGGAATTTCCAACGCGCGATTGCCATAATATGCGTTTTATACCGCGCAAACGCATAAAGCATATAAATATACGCATGCAGAGATTGCACGCAATTATTTAATACAATTCCTAAATTAATTTGCATAGCTTGTGTACGTGTATAATTGTGCAATTTGTAATCACACACCAAAATCCGCTTGTTAACTGTAAAAGATTACAATTGCCGAACGACGATTTGCCGATTGCAATAGATTTAGACAATTAATGCGATTCACATTGGTAAAGTAGATTTAATATTACAGCGGTAATGCCGATGTGATTTCAGTGATGATATTACTGTATTAATTAACGGGAGGAATGCGAATATCGCGCCACTCGGGGGGATGCTCTATATTATGTGATATTGTCCACAATAGACACGAGATGAGATTATTGTGCCGCGCGGGCCGCGTTACAGTCGCGATTGAATTACGCTCGGGAGGCCATTACTGGCCCCGGGGTCGCGCCGTCGCGAATGAGAAGTGCCGCGAAATTATGCCGAAAAGAAACGCGACGATAAATCTTCCGCGGGATTACTTTCCGGAATGGACCGGAAGGGAAGCGAGAAATGCGCGGGGGAGGATGTAATCGGAGATGAAAGATGGGCCGAAGGTCGACCGAGCGTTTTGCGCTCGCCACTCGCTGTAATTTCCCACCAAGGAAGGGGAGAAAAGTCGTTTCAACGAGTTCGGCCTTTCTTCATGGTAATCGAGGGAACCATTCAGGACTCGATCTTTACGACCGACGGTTTGTTCCGTATTTATTCTCCCGCCGATAGTTCCGCAGCTTTACGGGATTTCGATAAAAAAAAAAGAAAGAAAGAAAGTAGGACTTTAACGAAACTCTGTTAACAAGTTTTTTTTCCCGCCGCGTTCATATCTGCCTATTCGCAAGTACGCAATCTAAAAGTTTCGACTTCACCGCGAATAAACGCAATTGTGACTTTTAATGGCGGAACAGCGGAACTTTGAAGAATTCTGTAATGTGCGTGTATGTATCCGCGAGAAGTTAAACATAACTTTTAACCATTAGGATCGGAGTGAAGCATTTTAATTTAATTAAATAAAAAAACCGAGGGGTAAACCGCTGAGGGCATTACTGGGCATTACTGGGCATTTTGGGGGCATTAGTTTGGGCACTAGGCCTTGCTGGTGCATTATAAAGATAAAATAAGATAAAATAAGATAATAAGATAAAGTAACACCCACTGGGCATTAGTGGGCATTGGTGTACAAGATTTTGGTCAGCGGTTTCCCCCTCGAAAAAAACCCACGATTTGTATCAGTGGTCTTGAAATATCATCGACGTTACGCCGAGCTTTGATCAACTTGACCCATCGATTAAAACCTGCTGTATCCAGGAGATTGCGGGAACATGTACGTGTTTCCATAAATCACGATCTGATCGACGTTTTAACCACGAGTACGGCAGCCATATATAACGCGCGGCGTTTCGGTGAATAATTTCGTCGTTGTTACTAAAGTGGGATTACTGAGGCGAATCTCGCAAATGTATTCGAATATTAGAACATCGCGCTCTGACATTTGAATTTAGGACCAAACCGCGAATAAATATGTCCGGAAGATACAAACGTCCATGGAAAATAGATTATTTAATTAAATAACTAAATCTAGGCACAATTTAAATATTCCAAGTATCATGCATAAAAGTATCGGTATTTTTACTTAGAAATACCTAAATACTTATTGTGTACGACGTGCAGATAATACGTTTTTATTTACCACCTGAAACGTTGAAAAAACTCCGCTATCAAATACTCAAGATTCCGATACTTTAATTAGCTAATCATTCAATACAAAATTCGACATTTAAACGTTTCAAATTTCACTTTTATTATTAATGCCTTGAATATTAGAATATTTCTCGTTAAAATATCTTTAAAACATGTAGAAAATCAAAACGTGAAAAAGTTCCGAATCGAGAACGGTAAATATTTAAACTTTTAAAGTATAATCGCGCGTAACACACAACTAGTGCAACGCATTTGCGATTCTAGTAATTGCACCAAGATAGAAACTGTAAACCCTCGTATCGCCATGAATACGCGATGTATTACACTGTATGCCGTCGCAAACGGCACGAAATGGATTGCAGGCTTCTGCCGGCCACCGCCGGAGATTTATGGGCGCTTTAAAATTCTCGATGTTGTCGACCACATCGTTAGAACCGGCGGCAAAAATCGATGCACCGGCTAAATATCCAGCGTTAAAACCCAAAGCGGCGCATCCCGCTATACTTTCGCGCTCGAACACAAGGGCCGAGCGCGTTCTCGACGAAATATTTTTAATCCGTCTGTACCTCGTAAAGCCGGTATTTTCGTGCGATGCGCGAATGCGTCAAACCTTCTGTGCGGCCTTCGTATTCTCAATAAAAATAAATGCACGTACCCACGTTCCGAGAGACTTTTTATACAAATTCAACTAACTAGAATATCAAACTGCTGCGGTTTCCGCCAGCAAAATACATGAATAATGCAAAATCAAGAAATAGAAAAAGCTGAATACATTGCTGTGTAAAGGACTTCTCTATAAAATGGACGTTTTAAAAACTTTTTGCAACACTTACGTTATTAAAAATTTAGAAATGAAAATGTTTCTAAATTTCTTTGAAAAGGTTGGAATGTAATTTTTCGTCGATATATAATACTGTCGCATGAATATAACTTTTAATTAAAAGTATATTGACGTTACGGAGGCAATGTACGTTATTTCAATTTATTCTTAAAATAACTTCAGCTCGTATAATTTATTTAATATAATATTACATGTCCAGCCAGAAATCGACCGACAAATTTTTAATATAATAAAAACAAAGTGCCGTTTCGCTTGTTAACGTACAAACATTAAATTAATTTTCCTCTGTATAACGAATAAAAATCAGTTTTCCGAAGCATTTATCGCTCAGATAATTGTTAAAAAGAAACGAATAAAAAATGTCCAGTTATGATTTCCGAACGGTCGCAATATAACAGCGTGTTGGCCGCCGACCATGATTTATCTTTGTGGCAAACGGCAATAACGAGCGACAGTATCATACGCTTATAATGTTGGGCCTCTCCGCCGAGGGGAATAGACAAAGAAGTGCAAGAGTGCGATCCTCGCAGTCATACAGAGGAGATCGTAATATCGCGTCTCCACAATAAACCTTTTTTAATACAAAAGGTTTGAGAAAAGACGCCAAGTATAAGCATCATCCAATCAAGAATTATATAATTTAATTATTTTGACATCTTTTATTTAAAAAAAAGTACTTAATTGAGTTAAAATAGTTGAGCAATCAAATTAGGAATTTTTGCGACAATATTTGTAACTTGTCACGGCAAAGCGATCTTTTCATCTGCCTTGTGTATGCAAGAGACCGTAAAATAAAGGAGAGACATAAATTAAAAGTTACTTTTTCAGAAGAGAGAAAGAGAGAGACAGAGAGATCTATGTAACGAGAAATTCTTCACACTTTTGCGCATAAATTAAAGAGTTTTAGAACACAGCTAAAAAATTTTTTAGCAATGTACGAGTATTGTAGTCGTACGACGTTGGGACTATCTTTTATTTGCGTGGCAGTGCAGGGAATTGGAACATTGCGACCAGAAAAGTGACACAATAAAAGAGTTACTTTTTTAAAGTGGCAATGCTCCCCTCTTTTGTGTATAGAGTTCAAATAAAGAATTTTAATAGCATACAATTCGAAATTAATATTACAAATTTATATACACTGACAAAAAAATATCTTAGTCCAAAAAATATTACTTGACTCAAGAAAATTATTCGTTAGGTGGCTCCTAATAGCTTATTAACTTAAATTTAAAAAAACAAAAAAACAGGCATTGCTATTGCTTTAATTCGAGCATGTATCTCATTGCCAGATATTTTTTTAACTGTACGTCAGCACGGCGTGAGAACATTGTCAATACAGTTCATTCTGACGGATTGTTTTCTGTCTTGTGATATGTACAGTCTTGAACTTTGATACTTTGCTGGCACAGTCATTTCAGCATAATCATACGCAACTTATCTAAGAATTGCTAATTTTTGCTAGTTAATTGCTGTAATATCGATTTTTTGCTCCAGTCGATAAAATGTTCTGCTAACGTCAGCGCAGTATAGAACATATTAAAAACAGTAAGATTTATCTAATCCAATAAAAAATGAGATCTGCAAAAAAATCAGTAATGTTATAATATATTCTAAAATAATGCGTCAATTTTTGTTTGCTGTTTAACTAATAATACTCAACTTGTACGGTCGTGATTACGCAGATAAATATCTTGATCTTAGAGCACAATACAATAATAATCGTTCTCGTCGGACGTTTAAAACGCTCCTACATTCGCCTTTAGAAATCAGTGTGTAATCGACTTATCGCGAACGCAGTAGCGTTTCGCATTCTGTGCTGTGTTTCCAGTGTTTATCGGACAGATCCACCTGTGATAACCGATTAAGAAACAACCGGTCAAGGTAAGTTAACACGATTTAATTATTTCTTTAACTAAATATATTATTTTACAACATCAAGTTTTGTTGACCGTATCTGGCTATTTTTATGTTTAAGGATGTATTACGT